TCCACAGTGGGAACAGACCCTATCACTGTGCAGAATGTGGAAACAGTTTCACCAGTAGTTCTGAGTTTGTTATACATCAGAGAATCCACAGTGGGGAGAAACCTTATGAGTGTAACGAGTGTGCAAAAGCTTTTGTGTTTCACCACTAATTCGGCTTCAGAAAATCCACACTGGAGAGAAACCCTATGAGTGTAATGAGTGTGGCAAAAGCTTTGGAAAGACTTCCCATCTTAGCCAACATCAGCATATTCACACGGGGGAAAAGCCTTATTCTTGTAAAGTATGTGGACAAGCCTTCAATTTTCACACAAAACTAACTTGGCACCAGAGGATTCACAGCGAGGAGAAACCATTTGACTGTGTAGATTGTGGAAAAGCCTTCAGGACTCGAGAACAATTAAAAAGGCATCTAAGAATTCATATTCAAGAGTCTTCCTATATATGTGATGAGTGTGGAAAAGTCTTCACTAGCAAAAGAAATCTTCTTCAGCATCAAAGAATCCATACTGGAGAGAAATCCTATGAGTGTAGCAAGTATGCAAAAGCCTTTCAGACTTCTTCCCAGCTAGGTCATCTTGAGCACGTCCACTCTGGAGAGAAGCCTATGCTGGACATTGGTCGTTTTGGCCTCCCAGAATTTTTTACTCCTTTTTACTGGTAATAGTGCGCTTAGTTTCTTTTTAGATTCTGTCTTCCACTCAGGAGTAGAACGCATGACACAGATCAGGCTCAGCCTTACATCATTTCCTTAAGCCATAGTTATTGGTTCAGATGTTGGTAGGTGACCCAGGGTGGTCCAGTAAGAGTCCAAGGACTTGGCAAGAACAAGAGGTAATAGGAAGAAATACTCTTTTTCTTTTTTGTTCCATTGGTTTTAAAGCTGAGAAGACCACCTAGATTTTCACAGAGGCTGAGAATAAAGTCAGCACAGCAAAAGATATCTGAGAGTTGAAGAGCAATCAAATGTTGAAGATATTGTTTGAACAGTCACATTAAACCATGTGTGAAGCTAGAAATACATGTGAGTTTTTGGATTTCAGTAGCCAATAAATTCCACTTTTGTTTTTTCTTAGGCAAGTTTGAATTAGGTGTTCTTCCCTTGGAACAGCATTTTGACTTATACAGAGCATTGTCAGTGTAACAATTATTTGAAAAGTCTTCAGGGATAACATTCCTGATGATGGAGAAATGTCTTGTGCCTATGATATGTGGGAAAGTCTTTAGCTATAGTCATGGTAGCTCCCAAACCCCATGATTGTAATGAGATTGGGAAACACATTTGCAACACTGGAGAGCAGAGGCTACATCAGGACACCACCAGTGAATGGAAATTCTAGCTTAAGCTCTATAACAAAAAATTTGCTCTCAGTACAAAACTGCATCAGTGAATCCATACTCAAGAGAAGTCTTAAGTATGAAACAGAAAGCTTTCACTCTTAAAGCTTTCATTTTCTGTTTATACCCAGTTTTTATTTTGAATGAATGCTATTCTAGGCATTAAGCTGGCAAATGCCAGGCTGTTGTACGTATTATAGCTAGATATTAATATTTGCCAGCTTAATGCCTAGAATAGCATGCCCATTCTTCTCTTTGATCTAGTTAGTGGGCAAGGAAATGCTGTGGTTCTCAGTCATAAGGCACACTGCAGAGAAATCTTGGTAGGGACACAAAGAGCTGGCCCTTTGGGTGGTGAGCATAATTCGCACCCTCTTTTCCTATGTGTCTTTCTCCTGCCAGCCACTGTTAGAATCACCCTACCCAATTCCAGACTACCTGCCCCGGGAGTGTAGCACCTGGGGGGCTTCACCACCTCTTGTTTACTTGCCAGGAGTTGGATAAGCAATTGTATCAGGTGTTTGGATTGACCAATGAATAATAGGCTGGGGTAATCACTGAAGTAGACATTTTTAAATTGAAGTATAACATACACAAAAGTGCATGAGTCATAGTTGTACAACATGAATTTTTACAAAGAACTTAGTCTTACAGTTGTCAATATCAGGAAATAGAACATACCAGCACCTCAGATCTCCCTGTACCCCGTTCCAGTCATTACCTCTCTCTCATCATAACCTCTATTCTGACTTATGTCACCACAAATCATTTTGCCTGTTTTTGTACTGTTACTCAACGGAATCATCGGTATAGATTCATTATCACTGCTAGTGATAATGTAGTATTCCACTATGTAAGTTGCTTATTGTTGATGAGCATTTGGGTTATTTCTAGGGGTATCATTTTGAGGGCAGAAAATCTAAAAGTCACCCAGAAAACAAACTGGTTAAAGTAACTGTGGTCAGCAACTGTTAGTTTCACATGTTGCATCAGCTACAACTGTCCTTTAGTAAATTATAACAGCAGTAATTTTGGGAGGGGGGGCAATTACCATATGCCAGACTCTTTCCTAATCACTACACACGTTTACTCAGTACAACTCTGTGAAGAAGGTTGTGTACTTAGCTCCATGTTACAGTTGAGGAAACCAATTAATGAGGTTGCCCAAGGACACAGTGGCAGAGTAGGGATTCACAAACAGGCAGCCTGGGTCCAGAGCTCAAGTTGTAAGCAATACATAGTATGCCATGTAGAGGTTGGATGTAAAGTCTGTGTCTTGGCGACAGAAGCGGGGTTGTTGGAGGAAACTGATATGCTCCTTAGGGGTGGAGGAGAGGATCAGGAACAAGTCAAGACGGGGACTGCTCAGCTTCATGGAGGTAGATGGGGAATTGGCATTATAAGGGGAATCATGAATTGAGCTAGAATAGTAAAATCTGTCTAGTACAGTGTCGCAGTATAGCTGTTGCGGGGGAGGTAGCGTACGTCTATAGATGAGGCAGGAGACCCAGTTCTTAGGTTCCCCCACCCTTAGTGGCTGTGTAGCATTGGGAAGTTAAACATGTATTGCTCTCAACACCATCTGAAAATGGGTGTCTTTATATCAAATACCTGAGTCAGTGAGCTGGCTCCTCTGAGGTCTTTCAGCTTTGAGATGGGACAGCTGAGTGAGGTTGGTTTCCTTTTTCCTGGCATTCACTATTGAGTAATTAGCGCCGTGACCCCAGTACCACTGTTAGGAAGCCCCCTCCAATTGAGTAACCGTCCTTGAATCAGTTACGATTACTGTATTAGTTTTCTGTGTCCTGGTCTGAGCCACCAGTGTTTCCTGGACTACCACAATTGCTCCTTAAGTGGTCTCCCTGCTTCTACTTTTGCGTCTCTCTAATCTGTCTGCCAATCAGCAGAGTGTGCTTTTAAATAACCTAAAACACGTTGTAGTGTGCGTTTGCTTAAAACATTTCAATGGATTCCCATTGCACTGGGAATAAAATCCAAACTCTTTAACATGGTCGGCAAAGCTGTATGTGACTTCATGGTGTGCCACTTCCTCCCTCTACCCATCATGTGTCAAGCTTTATGTCATGGGAGGGCCTACACACCTTATTCCTCCTGCCTGGAATGCTGTCCCCTTGATTATGTGCCCAGATATTCTTTCAGGTCTCAGCCCAAGGTCACTTCCTCAGACAGGCCTTTCCATACCTCCAAGTTAGAAATGGCATTCCCTTGATATTCTCTCCTAAACACCTTGCTCTTTGTCTTTATCACACGAATGAAAGTTTACCATAGTGTATTTATTCAGATGCTGATTTATTTAAAGCATGTCTCCTCCACTATGTTCTATGGTCTACAAAGGCTGTAACCTACAAGCTTTGTTTTTCATTATCTATAAAATAGATATAATATCTCTGCACCTTTCTCAGGATAATGTGAAGAAAAATACATAATAAACACAAGAGTGTCTAATAGTAAAGTTCAATTCAGATGAAAGATGTTTTTATAGCTCAGAACACCTTCATGCAAGGTAACTCACTCAGGAAGGGAGTTTAATGTGGTTAAATAAAGCAATTGGAACATAATGACGTTCCCAATCTTACTACACTTTCATTATGCTTAAATTGTGTTGGGGTGATTTATTGTTACCAACAAGAACAATATCTAGTCCCTGTCTTTTTAAATTTTCAAAGCTAATGACTCATGGTTATAGAAATCTTTAAGATGCAAGAAAGCTTACAGAAGAGCCTCTCTTGGCCATTTGTGTACACAAGCAATGTTCATCCTTGGAATTCTCTGGAGTTTGAGGCAGGGTGATAGGCAGAGAGGAGCAGGAACAGGGTGGCTAAGTGAGATGTGTCAGGTTCTGGCCAAATGATTTCAATGGAAGAGAGAGGAGGAGACAAATATCTGGAGATCAGGCTTAAAATATAATCAGAGGGACCAGCACCAGGTTGGAGAACAAGGGTTCTGGTGCCTGAACCAGGACCTTGGAGAGCTCCATGGACAGCAGTAGGAGTAGCAGTTTTGTGGTTTTTTAGGGGGCCTTATTTTCTAATCTGTAAAATTAAGCAGCTGATTTATGATCCAACTAAAGCCCTCACTCCTGCCTAGAGGTCTGATGTCTGAGCCTAGGAAGAAGTGAAAACTAGCACTTATTGCCAAGAGCAGTATAATCCCACTCTGCCCAATCACAGGGACCATTTTTCTATTCAAATGAGAGAAGCCACATAAAGTGCTCATTATGGAAAGCAGGATCAGGGTCAGGGCAAGGCAGAGAAGGGCTCCTGGCCATGGTCAGTGCTGTGATCCCAGGCATAAGCTACATCCTACTCCCAGTAGTACAAAAGTAAAGTAGGGAGTTGGGGCTGGAGCCTTTGGACCATGCCAACAACAAACATTTATTGCTCCTCTTCTTTGAGCTCAGTTTTGTGCTCTAGCTGAGGATAACAGTGTTGAACAAGATAGATATATTAATAGTCCCTGCTCCCTGGAGCTACCAGAGAAGACCTAGATATTTAAATAAAATATCACCATTAAATAGGTACAGATGTTCCAAGTCCTGAGAAATACTGTGGTGGCACATAAATGGGGGACCTGCCTTATTCTGGGTGGTCAGGGAAGGCTGGCTTCCCATAGGAAATAGGATTTGAGCTGATGCTTCTGGTAGCAGCCAAGATGGAGGGTAAGAAGAGGAAGGGGAGGGCATTCTCGGTTTAGAGAACAGCATGTTCAGCAAGTGGGGCTGAAGTTGGGGGGGGGAAAGAATGGGAGTGGTAAGAGGCTGGAGAGGTGAGTAGGGCCAACCACCACCTTCCAGTGCAGCAGCAGCATTGGGGAGATCAGAGCTGGAAGGAAGAAAGGGCTACATGATCAGGGTTGAGGGTAGGAATGTAAAGGTGGTCCAATCCAGTGGCTTTTCGTACTGTCTCCCCTCCACCAGGGCTCATTTTGGAAATTATGGGAGGTATTTTGTTACGTTTGGTGGTGGTGGTGGCATTGCTACTAGCATTACCAATGGGAGCCAGGAGTGCCACAAGTCCTGCAGTGCACAGGATAGTCCCACCTGTCGAAAACATTTTCAGACTTTCAAATGTCTTGCTGGACATTCATGTAAATGAAAACCCTATTTGTAAATTACTTGAACCTAGAAGCCAACTGTTCTAGATAAACACAATGTATTTTTGCACAGTTTTAACATACACTGATGTTCCAGGACTATAACTACTGTATAATCAGTAGAATGTCCTGTGTTTCATTAAGAACTTCATCAAAAAGTGTTTACCATTCTGGATCACACTTTTGTGATTTTTTTTTTTTTTCTTTTCGGCTTTTTTTGGGGTTCCGGTTTTTTGGTTTCGTTTTTTTGCCTTTGCCCCCCCCCACCTTTTGTGATTTTTGAAACACCAATATAAGTCACAGCTTGTGCCTGTGGCAATTCAGGCAAATTTTGTGTGTAAAGACAAATATCGCATCACTTCATTAGGTCTTCTACCGCGGTCATGGCCAAACATTTGCATATTGACGTATGTGTTTTTTAATTATAAATTCCTTTTATTTCTCCTTCATTGCACTTAAGGCATACATTAGTTTTTAAAATGTAGATTCTTTATATTATTATTTTCTAGGCCATTATTTATGAGTTTCAGGTTAGAAGAATTAAGTGGACATTACAGAGTATTTGCTAGAAAAAGGGGGCACTGGAGCCGGGCATGGTGGCACATGCCTGTAGTCCCAGCTACTTGGGAGGCTGAGGCAGGAGGATCGCTTGAGCCCAGGAGTTTGAGGTTGCAGTGAGCTATGATCGTGTCACTGCCCTCCGGCCTGGGGTGACACAGTGAGACTCCGTCTCGAAAAAGAGAAAGAAAAAGAACTAAAGGAAGGGGTACTGGATCTGGGTCTGGCAGCGTGCGAACCACTGGTCCAGTCCGGAGGCTTCCAAACATAGTTGCACCTGTAGCTTTACCAATACTCAGATTCTTGGCGCGCCTCCCCAGGCTGGGCCCCGCGCTCAAAGCTGATTCTTGCCTGCCCCAACTTCCGGAAGAGTAACCACCCTCACGGGTCAGACCAGAGGGAGAAGGACAAAGGGAGCAAAGCTCTGAAGGACAGGGCTGCGGCCGCAGCGGGCCAGCGAGAGCACCATAGAGAGGGGGCGACCCTGCTCCTAGAAAGGCTGGGACTCTGCCTGGTGACGCATTTCCGGCAGCGCCGCGGCGCTGCGGGCTGCGAAGGTGAGTACTGGCCTGCGGGCCTCGTGGGCGGTGCCCCGGCCCCAAGGCTCTGGGCGCGGTTGGGGCGCGCCTGCACTCTGGGTGGAGCTGGGTTTCCCGCCGACTGCGCTGCCTGGAGGCCTGGGCTGGGGGAAGGGAGCAAGCGGCGGCCTGGGGTCCTCTTCCGCCCTCCTCGACTCCAGCTTTGGTCTTGGAGTCCGAATACGTTCCGTCCTGTGGAAGGCAAAGCCTCTGTTGCTGTCAGAGCCACGAGGCCCCCAGCATTTAGTACTCGATGTGTTCCGGGAAGATGTGTCGGTGCAGCCAGAGGGTGAAGATTTGCGGGAGTGAAGCAGCCCGAGGTGATACCACAAGTTTTTTGACACACTGAGGTCTTGCATCTCAGGTTTGGACTGTGTGCTCCCAGGCTCGTGACGTAGGGTCATGAATCAGGACCGACTGGGAGCGCAGAAAAAGCAGATCCCCTGCCAGTCACTTGGGAGCAGAAGAAGTTCGGCTTTTGAAGGGCACTGTCTCCTACTGTGTTGCCAGTCCCAAAAGGTAACTTGGCCCTACTCCTCTTGGGCTGTAGGGTGACAATTACTTGGAAACGACATCTGCACTGTAATTACGAATTTGCATAGTTCTTGAATACACGTAAAATAGTTTAAGCATTGCTAATTCAACCCCTTGCAAAACAAATTTACCACCTAGAGTACAGTATTCGAATACCAGTTTTTTTGTCTTTAACCTTATAGTGTTTAGTCAAAATACTGTTTTCCAAAATTACTTAGTTCTTTTCCTTCCCACCACTTCAGTGTGATTATGTTATTCAGCTGTAGTATAGTGAGGCTCCTTTGCTGTTGTTAGTATTCCATTTTGGGTCCTCACCTTCACTCCGGGCTGGTTTGTGTGTGTGTATTAAATATATATATGCTTATATGTTTTGATATATATATATGTATATTAAAATGAGCAACCGCGAACACATCAACCAATTAAGAAAGAGAACATTGCCAGTACTGTGCTTCTCTTCAACCCAACTTCCAGCCTCCCACCCCTAAAGGTGACTACTATCTTGAATTTGGTGTCAATCATAGCCTTACTATTTTTTAAAAGGATTTTTTATAACGTATGCATATATCTGTAAACAATGTTTAACTTTTTTTGTTTTTGAGCTTCATATAAATGGCGTCATTGTGTTTAGTCTTCTGGGACTCACATAATTCCATATAATGTTCCTAAATTCATTCATGTTATGTGTAGCTGCTGGGTAACGTTCCACTGTAAAAACTATAAAAATTTATTGATGTATTCTCAATGGATCTGTGGGTTCTTTCCAGTTTTTTGCTGTTTAAATACAGCTGATAACGAATATATTTGCACATATCTCCTATATATGAGAGTCTCTCTCGGGTGTGTTTATTTATTTAGTTAGTTTTTGTAGAGACGAGGTCTTGTGGTGTTGCCCAGCCTGGTCTTAAACTCCTCGGCTCAAGCAATCCTCCTGCCTTGGACTCCCAAAGTACTGGGATTACAGGCATGAGCCATTGCCACCGCGCCTAGCCTGAGCGTTTAAAATTAGACATGAATGTTGAATTATTTCAAACACTTCTGGCATCTGTCAAGATGGATAATATGTTTATCTTTGATTTATTGATGTAGAAAAGATACTAGTTTGTATCCTAATATTGAGTTTTACTTGAATTCGTAGGATGATCTACTTAGTCATGGTACATTACTTTAATGAACTACTGGAGTCTATTCCTTAATATTTAGAATTTTTGCATCATTATTCATAAATGAGACTGCTTTATGGTTTTGTATTAGTATTGTGCTGGCATCATAAAAATAATTGGGAAACTTACTTTGTGTGCTGTGCTACAGTTTAAATAGTGTTATAGGATTATTCTGTTTTTTTTTTTCGGCGACAGGGTCTCACTCTGTTGCCCGGGCTAGAGTGCAGTGGCGTCATCATAGCTCACTACAACCTCAAACTCCTCGGCTCAAGCCATCCTCCTACCTCAGCCTCCTGAGTAGCTTAGGACTACAGACTCAGGACACCACACCTGGCTAATTTTTCTATTTTTTGTAGAGATGGGATCTCTGTGCTCCTGAGGCTGGTCTCAAACTCCTAGCTTCAAGCAGTCCTCCCTCTTTGGCCTCCCAAAGTGCTGGGATTACAGATGTAAGCCACTGCACCCTGCCCTAAAATTATTCATTTCTTAAAGAACTGTAAGGACTTTCTCATGACGTACCTGGGCTCAGTGTTTTGTGAGTGTTAGCTCTTCACTGGCTGTCTTGGTTTAATTAGGTAAAAATAATGAAGGGTTATGTGGAAAATCTTTATAGTGTAATTTATAGAATTGATTTATTAGATTCAAGTAGAATTATATATTCTGTCATCATAGAATAAGTTTTCTTTGTAAACACCACATAATATTTTTTTTAAATAGATACTTAGCCACAGAATAACTTGAAAAATCTGTAAAGTAAAAGTTAATCAGGTTATTTAAACATCATGCACTAAAGCCAGAACTTATCAACAGAGAAGAAATTAGCGCCAACAAACTATCCTAAACAAGTCAGAGACAAAACAGAGTTGCTGACTGGCTATAAAATAGGAATTAAAACATGAAATATAAAAACTCCTGGAATGTGTCTAATAGCATATTCAGAGGAAAATTTATGACCTTGCAAGCTTTAATTGCCAAGGGAAAGAATGCAAATAAATGAATAAATCTTGCAATCTCAAGAAGGTAGGGAAAAAAGCTTTTGTAGTCTAGTTTCCCCCAAAAGCAAAATATGGAACAAAGATTTGTGCATAGGAATTTACTTAGGAACGTGGTTACAGGAGCAGAGTGAAGGACAAGGGGAGTGAAACAGAAGGAGGGAGAACCTGTACAAGGATGTGTTGTTAGGCTCAGCCCTCAACAGGCTCTGTCTTGCAGGGTCTTTGAGGAGCCCTGGAGTCTCAAGGCTGCCCACCTGGGGGACTAAAGGGGAAAACATTTAACATTTATCCCTTGGCTTCTGTCCCCTATTGGTCGAGGGTGGCCCTGCAGGTGTTAACTCCCCTCTGCTTCAGGGCCCAGCAGGTGTCCACAGGTGTCCCTCATGGGACAGTAGAGAAGCCCCAGGGCAGGAACCAGGCATATGTGGTGTAGGTTTTTGCAGAGACATTGGTAAGTTGAAGCTTCCCAAAGCTGGTCAAAGCTTCCGTAAAACTGGACTGAGGATGGGACAAGAGGATTTTGAGTGGTGCTTAAACTGTCCCTTACAGAGCTAAAAGAACAAACTAATAAAGCAGAATTAGTGAATTAAAAACAAATAGAAGAAAGTGGTGTTGCTTAATAAATAGAAAAGCTGGTTCTGTGAAAATAAAAGAAAACCACATTAAAATATTAATAAATAAACTACTGCTCAGCCTAAGTATATTAGTATGCTTGGGATTTATTGGCAGCCCATGACAAAATACGATAGACTAGGTGGCTTAAACAGAAGGTATTTATTTCTCACAGTTCTGAAGACTGGAGTCCAAGGTCAGGGTGCTGCTGATTTTGGTTCCTGCCAGGGCTGTCTTCTTGGCTTACAGATGGCAGCCTTCTCATTGTGTCTTCACGGGGCGGAGAGTGGCAGATGAGTGGGTGTGAGCATGCGTTCTGGTGTCTCTTCCTCTCCTTACAAAGGCACCAGCCTTGTTGGTTTAGGGCTCATCACCCTTTGACCTCATTTAACTTATTACTTCCTCACAGGCCCTGTCTCCGAATGTAGTCACATTGGGGGCTAGAGCTCCAATATATGAATTTGGGGGGTACATAAACATTTAGTCCGTAACACTAACCCTGGGGAAAAGGCCTAGAAAGTGCATATATTCAAAAAAAGCGGGAACAGCAAAGTAGCTCTAGCTAGCAAAGAAATGAAAAGAATCATGAACCAGTGTTTTTTACAGCTCTTTACTGGTAAAGTTGAAATCCTGGAAGAAATGGATATTTTAGGAAAATGTAAAATTTCTTCTTTTTCAATTGCAAAAGTAATATCACTACTTATTCTATAAATTTTAAATAATAAAAATAGAATAATAAAACTTTTAAAAAAAGTCATACCCTACTACCAGGCAATGATGTTATCATCATTTTGTGTCTATCTTCTGATTTTCTATGCATTTATAATGATATATATGTTTCTTAATGAGTAAAGCCATGTAAACCTATGTAATTTTTTTTCATGTTCTATGCCACTTCTAGGCACCAAGCCAGTGAACAGATAACCCTCTTCTTCCTGTGGCAGCTCCTGTCACGCTGCTGCTTGGATGCAGGCTGCCTGTGTCTCACATCTTCTGTGAGGCTCTGTGCTGCTCCTGGTAGGGGTGGCTTGCCTCACACTTGTCCCTCTCTGTGTTTCTCCTCAGCTCCAGCCCTGCTCTGAAGGGAAGACCAGGTGATGGCAGCCATGCTTCTGACAGCCTGGCCCGAGGTGAGCTGCGGGTCCTTCAGCTCTCGCTCTGGGCAATTTCTGATTGAGAAGTGAGAAGGGGGGCTGGTGAGCCTTGGGTTGAAAGCTGCATCCACCTGCTGGACTGGAACTTGTGGGAAGGAGGTGACGTGGAGGGAGGGTGGCAGAGACCAGGGTGGTGCTGAGTAGGAAGCAGCAGGTGGTCTTCTGCACACCTCCGTGCAGGTGCGCCCCCCAGCACAGGGCTCTGGGACAATGGGGACATGGAAACTGCCCATGTAGGATGCTCTGTGCACAGATGTGAATGGAGGAGAATTGCAGAGGACTGGGAGTCTCAGTGGTGGGGGTGGAGGAGAGAGGAGTAGCAGGACCAGATCAAAGAGAGGGATGGCTATGCCTCTAATTTAGGGGTAGGGCGAAGATGAGGGTGAGTGGAGTCAAGGGAAGGGACAGACAAGGGATCCTGTGGGACAGAGTATCTCATTGTCCTCATGAGGCTTTCAGGGCTTGGGGTGCGGTGGTTCTCAGACTTTAGGTCTCTGATAAGAGCTCTCCATCCTCTCCCCCAGAAAAATAAACCTGAAAACCAAATTTTCCATACACTTTCAGGGACTTCATGGACCCCCTGAAGCTCATCCATGGACCTCCATGGACTACAGGTTGGGAATAATAGTCACAGTAACACCGTTTGAGGCTTCCTATGCAGGCCCCACACTAAGCCCTTTGCATGATTGTTCAGTGCTGACAGCCGCCCTTGTTGATAGGTGCTGTGTTGTATTCTTTCTACCAAAAAGACATGAAGGCAAAGGGGAGGAGAGTAACCTGCTCATGTCACAAAGTTATTGTGAGATTCATAACTGCTCGGCCATAAGACAACTGTGAAATCAGTGATGTTAAGTTGGTTAGTTTTGGCTGGGCGCGGTGGCTCACGCCTGTAATCCTAGCTCTCTGGGAGGCCGAGGCGGGCGGATTGTTTGAGCTCAGGAGTTCGAGACCAGCCTGAGCAAGAGCGAGACCCTGTCTCTACTAAAAATAGAAAGAAATTAATTGGACAACTAAAAATATATAGAAAAAATTAGCCGGGCATGGTGGCGCATGCCTGTAGTCCCAGCTACTCGGGAGGCTGAGGCAGGAGGATCGCTTGAGCCCAGGAGTTTGAGGTTGCTATGAGCTAGGATGACACCACGCCACTCTAGCCCGGGCAACACAGTGAGACTCTGTCTCAAAAAAAAAAAAAAAAAGTTGGTTAGTTTTGCAATGTGTATGGAATAATTTTTAGGGAAGATTCAAAAGCAAGGTAAGCACGTGAGAAGGAATCCCACTGGTCCAGGTGATGTGGGCTTCATCAAGGAAAGTAGCTGTTGAAGAGGAGGGATCCAGGTCAAGTAATGCTTAAGACAACAATCTTTAGGACAAAGAGAGTCAAGGATTAGGGCTAGGGATAAGGGACAGGGGAAGTCAAGAATGAGCCCCAGGTTTCTAACTGAGGTTTCCTGGGAGGATGGTGCTGACATCAGCTGAGGTGCAGGTTCAGGAGGAAGCGCCAGCTTACTGGGGAAAAGGATGTTGGCACGCAGTGAAGGCATTTAATTTTGTGCAGAGAAGTTACTTGACCTGTCTAAGGTCACACAAAGAGGACGGAAACACCTAGAGGTTGGACCAGAATTGTTGATGGGTGGAGATCAGTAGCATCAAGGAAAACAAGTCCTGGCAGAGAGGAGTTGAGAGGCAGATCCCTGCCAGTGATTCCCCTGGGTCTTCATGGAAGGCTGAAGTGGACAGAGGCAAGCCAGCCAGAGGCCGTGGCTGCTCAGGAGGGAGGAATTGGGCCTGGGAGTGACATGCAGCATCAACCCTGAGTGGCAGAGCTTGTGCTGACCTCATAGCTTAGTGACACAAAGAGGAGAAGCCAAAAGGCTTCCAGAGTGGCCAGCCATTGGAAGGCTGGTCTCCCTTCTTTCCCAAGCCTTCTTGGAGAAACAGTGAAGTCTTGGGAGCAGTTGGAAAGGATGAGGCTTGAATGGGAGAGGGTAACAGAAAATGCTGGGTTTTCGGGGACAACCCCTCAGCCTGGGCTGCACTGAGTCCCTTGGCTGGAGGTGTTCAAACGGGCTGCACAGCCCCTTGTTGGCGGGTCTGTGATGGACACCAGGTGGCAGATGGGGGCCAGCTGAGACAGAAGCCATGACTGTTCTTAGCAGGGGGCTTTAGGTGTAAGGATGAGGGTGAGGTATGGGGAGTGCATTGGGGCTGAGGTCAGGCACAGGGGAGCCAGGACCTCAACGGGATGACGTGGGGACTGCAGGTGGATGGGTCCTGAGTCTGCTAGTGAGGGAGTGACCTGTCTAAAAGAGCAGGGTTGCTTTGGGAGAATTTGCTTATGGAAAAAATTTTTTTTTTCTTTCAGCCCATCTTACATTATCTTTTATAAGTGTAGAAAATGACAGGTTTCTCTGCTGTGGGAGAAGTCGGATATTCCGTGGTTTATTTTCCTGGTGCTTTCTCTGAAATCTTTCCCTTGTTATTAATTTTGTGCTCTCATGAGCTCCCTCCCAAACCCTTATACTGCCCTCTGCCCCTCACTTAGGGCTTGAGCCATGGAATTGGCCCTAGGGCAGCAGGAACCTGTTGTTTCAGAAGTCGGTGACCTTTGAGGACGTGGCTGTGTACTTCACGCAGACGGAATGGGATGGCCTATCCCCTGCACAGAGGGCCCTGTACAGGGATGTGATGCTGGAGAATTATGGGAATGTGGCCTCCCTGGGTAAGGCCTCTCTCCCCCCGGGACCCAGACTCTGCCATTTGGGGTTCCTGGCTTCCTTTTCCCCTACAGGTTGCAGGTGGGGCCTCTGGTAATCCTTTACTGAGAAGCAACCCCAGGGCTGTTCTAATCCCCTAGACTTAGGGGTTGCTGGGAAAGGCAAACCCCATGCCCTTTGTGGGCCTATATAGGACTTGCTGGAACTGGTGTGCACTTTTGATCCACTCTATGGAAGCTGTGTTTTGGACACAGTGTGGAATACAGTAACTTCCTGTTCCACAGTAGCATCTTCAGGTCCCCCATCACCTCGCCTGTATCTTGAGTCTTTTTAAGGATCTCAGTGGACTCTGAATATTTCAGGCCAAGATCAGTAATAGTAACAGGTTGGTGCAAAAGTAAGTGTGTTTTCAGACTGTGAATTTTAAATCATTGTAACTAGGCTCAAACACATCTTTATTTGTTTCGACCTTGGGTTCTTTGGCAACTTCTTGTATGGTTGTAAGAGGATCAGCCTCGATGATTGCTCTCAGTTGGTTGTTGTCAACTTCCGATGGCCAGCCACTGTGCTCCTCATCTTCAAGGCTCTCATCTCCTTTGCGAAACTTCTTGAACCACCAGTGCGCTGTATGCTAGTTAGCAGTTCCTGGGCCAGATGCGTTGTTGATGTTGCGAGTTGTCTCCGCTGCTTTACAACTTGAACTCAAATAAGAAAATTGCTCGAATGTGCTTTTTGTCTACCATCATTTCCATAGTCTAAAATAAATATAAAATAAACAGCAAGTAATAGGTCATTAGCAAAAAAACATAAAGTGAGAAATGCGCTTTAAAATGATGTATCACTTAACCACATTTAAGAATGTATTCCAATATCAAACAGCAAATTTCAACAATGCTAAAACTGCAATTACTTTTGCACCAATGTAATAGTAACCCTTTGTGCAGAATCTACCTGCTGCCCAACATGAGGTCCTCGACTCATAGTCTGGGCCTTTCCCAAACTCCCTTACACCCTCCCACACTTCCCAAGCCCCCCAACACTTTCCTGTGATCCTTAGGCTTCGGACCCCTGGGGCTCTTACCTTCCTTCCC